TGTGTGTGTGTGTGTGTGTGTGTGTGGACGTGCGTGATTGCGTGTGCGTGATCACAACTTCCTTTCACACTCATCACCACTCCACCTTGGCCCCCTTGTGTGTGTGTGTGTGTGTATGTGTGTGTTTGTGTGTGTGTGTGTATGTGTGTGTGTGTTTGTGTGTGTGTGTGTGTGTGTGGTCAGTGTACATCTCGCGCCCGCCGCCGCTTGATTACGGCCCCCTCCTCGTCGCACACGACATTAACCCAGGTCTGTTGTATGTGTGTGTGTGTGTGTGTGTGTGTGTGTGTGTGTGTGTGTGTATGTGTGTGTGTGTGTATGTGTGTGTGTGTGTGTGTACGTGTGTGTGCATCAAGTGTCCCTTGGCGCTAACCGACCAATTGTGTACGACTGGAGACCATCCCTAGTATATTTGTGACCCTTTAACTGCAAGTCTGGACATCCGCCTAATTTAAAAATGTGCTGGGAGTGCAACGGATGAGCCTAGAGGGAGTACATCTTTAGTGAGGTTCTACAAATCCACATTGGAAAATATTCCGCATTCCACCTGCAGATCCCAAATAATAAACAGATAACACTTTGTGGAAAGTTGCCTACTCGCACATTCACACACAGGGATAGGTGTTGCTTGCTTTTGGTTGCTCGTTCGCTCGCTCGTTCGTTCGTTTGCTCTCGTTCATTCATTCATTGGCTTTGATACTTTGGTTAAAACACCACATTGGCATCAAACAACACACGTTGAGTGGACAGAAAAAGAAAAAGGGCAAAGGGGAAAAGAGGGCTGTGACTACACACCAACAAACAAAAGAGACCACACACCTTACACACACACACACACACACACACACACACACACACACACACACACACACACACACATAAACACACACACACACATAAACACACACACGCGACTTGCTCGCCCTCACTTCCTGTGCATGAAGCGGAGCAGCTGTTCCGTGGCGACAATGTGGTCGCGAACGGTGTGAATGTCATCGAGCATGCGGCGCTCCCGTTCATTGTTGGCCTCAATCCTCGCCCGCAGCTGCGCCATGTACGCTTGGTGCTCCCGCTCCTCTTCTTCCTCGTCGTAATCGTCCATGTCAACGTCGTCGTCGTCGTCAGCATCGTCATCGGTTGCATCCATGTCCCGCATGGTGTCCTTGTCATCATCGTCGTTGTCGTCGGCAGCGGCATCTTGCGCGCCAACACTCCTGCCGTAGCCTGGTGCTGTGTTTGCGTTGACGCTTGTAACGCCCGCCGGCACGCATGCGCCGAGATTGCGGCGTGCGTTGGCACCATTGCCACCTTCAGCGGCATCGTCGTCATCGTCGATGCCGACGCCTGTGATGTCGCTGCTGCTGTAACTCTTGGTTCGAAAGACAGCGACGCCGCCGCTGCAGTGAACTGCAGAAGGGGCAGCAGGCTTGTCGCCACCATCATTGTCATCGTCGTAGTCGTCTTCTGGAGGCACGGCAGCGCTCACCTCCGTGGTGAGGTCTGTGGAAGACGTGTCGCACTCGTGCTTGCCGTACTGTTGGAACTTGCTGGCCAGCATGCGTTGCATGCCGGCTGCATCAGCAGGCGACGATGATGATGGTGGCGACACACGCTCAGCAGACATGGCGGTATGGTCTCGTTCACAAGGGGTAACGTGGTGCTGGTGTGGTTTGGTGTTTGGCCGGGGGGGGGGGAGGGAGAGGTTACGGCTGGTTGGGGTGCAGTCAAGACTTTCAACAAACGGCCGTGGCGGTGGCGGTGGCGGTGGGTGGTGAAGAGGAAAAATGAATCACACTCAAAAAGCGGACGGATGGGATAACATCAAGAACGCACGCGCGCTGCTGTGGGCCGGGGGGGGGTAACAAAAGAGACCTCAAGCAACGAGAGCGAAGGGGCGGGGGGGGGGGGTTGGTGTGCTGCTGTTTGTGTTTTGTGCGTTGTGCTTTGTGGTTGTGCTTAAATTCTTGTTTGGAGCGAAATGAACGAGAAGGAGGAGGAGGAGGGAACGGACAACTTTCAAAACCCGCAGGTTATGCGATTGTTGTTATTGGAATGGAGGTGGTGTGGCGCGGGGTGGTTTGCTCAGCTGATTGGCTGGGTTGCTGGCTGGCGATGCAGTTATGTTGTGATGATGATGATGATGGATGAAGCAATGAATGGAAACACAAAAGTGAAGATGGAGAATGTGCGTTGTTGTGGTTGTCGTTGCCGTTGTTTGGCGGTTGTTGTTGTGTCCCGCACAACGAGCAAGCAAGCGGTTGTGGAATGGTGACTGGTGTGTGTGTGTGTGTGTGTGAGTGGTGTGTGGTTCGACTTGCCGTGTAATTGATAGTCGTCGTCGTGTGCGTAACTTTTGCAAGTGGTTGGCAGGTATTTGTTTATTTCTGTGTGTCGCTTGTCGCCGTCAGTGGCAGCACAAAAAGTAGCTGTCGGGACAAGCAACAAAAACGACAACAACACACACACACACACACACACACACACACACACACACACACACCCCAACAACAACAACAGCGAGAAACGTTCATTTGGCACATCGACGCATCGACAAGTCCACACACCTGTCGACAACCAGACACAACCAACCATCATGGACGACGAGGAGACCTTCATGGCCATGGTGAGCGTGCATGCGAGCGTGCATGTGAGCGTGTGTGTATGCGTGTGAGCGTGTGTGTGTGTGTGTGAGCGTGTGTGTGAGCGTGTGTCTCCGAGTGTGTGTCGTATCCTTGCTTGCTTGCTTGCCTGCTTCCTTGCTTCCTTGCTTCCTTGCTTCCTTGCTTCCTTGCGTGCTTGCTTGCTTCCATAAGACCAACATCGTCCCGTCCACATCCACATCCACATCCACATCCACATCCACATCCACATCCACATCCACATCCACATGCACACATGCACACATGCACATGCACATTTCACATGGTCGCATGCAAACGTGCACAGAGCGATGACGAAGAGTTCCCTGTTGGCGGGAGCGATGACGAAGACTTTGGCGAGGACAACGACGACGTCATGGTCGACGACGACGACGACGATGGTGACGACGAAGCCATGTTTGGTGTAGAGGAATCCGGAGCACCCACACTGCTTGTCGACGAGACACAATGTACCTTCATCACAGCGGATGAACTCATCGCACAACAAGTACACCTCATCAAAGAAATCTCCTCTGTCCTCCAGGTGAGCGTGTATGAAGGACCACTGCGTTGCTGTATGTGCCTTTTTTTTTTTTGTTTTTGTTTTTTTCTTTGCATTGCATCCTTGTCGTTGCTGGCACTGATTTCGAGGCTTGTTGTGTCGCTCCAGATCACACCACCACCACCCACCAACACAACAAGCGCCTGGATTCGCCTCTCACCATGTGTCTCACTCGCATGGCTTCACCTGACGCCCCATTTTCCCACACCTGTTGCTGCTGCATTAGTTGCCACATGGGACGGCGAGAGTGTTGTTGGAGCACTTTGGCTGGAGCAAGGAGCAGCTAATGGAGAGGTATTGGACAGAGGATCACGACAAACTCTTTGCAGACGCAAGATGCATCCAGCCAAAGGACATGAAGGATCAGGTGAGGCAGCGCTGTTGGCGTTTCCACCATGTCGGTGCTGCGGATACCGGCTTTCTTCCAGCCTTGCCTCGTGTTTCGTTGTTCCGTGTGGCTGTGGCGAATATAAAATGGTGTGCTGGGCCAATTGTGGTGGTGCCTCTTGCATGCACTGACCCCGCCATCACCCCATACGCGCTCATGCAGTGCGACGAGGACATGTGCAGTATTTGTGGCAACGACAACAAAGAGGTGTTTTTGGCTTGTGCGTGCGCGTGCATGTGTGTGTGTGTGTGCGTGTGTGTGTGTGTGTGTGTGTGTGTGTGTGTGTGTGTGTGTGTGTGTGTGTGTGTGTGTGTGTGTGTGTGTGTGTGTGTGTGTGTGTGTGTGTGTGTGTGTGTGTGCGCGTGTGTGTGTGTGTCGACTGACCGCGTTGTCTTCTTGCCTCTGCGCGTGCCTCCATCACCACAGGAGCTGTTGCAAATTGGGTGTGGGCACGGGTTTTGCCACGAGTGCTGGGTTGCATATTTGGAAGAGAAGATCCTTTCCCAAGGAAAGCAGGTCTGGTTGTGGGCTCTTGTATCCGTGTGTGTGTGTGTGTGAACGTGTGTGAGAGTGTGTGTGTGTGAACGTGTGTGTGTGTATGTGTGTGTGTGTGTGTGAACGTGTGTGTGTGTGTGTGAACGTGTGTGTGTGTGTGCGCGCTTGTAGTGCCGGCACTTGCGCTTGCTTGTCGCTCCACATTTCATATTGTATTGCGCTCATATTTGTATCTTGTGTCATTGCGGACAGAGCATTGAATGCCCCGAGTACAACTGCAATATTCTCGTGGATGAATCGACAGTCACGTGCGTCCCCACCCTGCACCATCTGCTGTGTGCGCACAGAGTGCATGCCATGCGGCGTGCACGTTATACCACGACTCACCACCATCACCATCACCACCACCACAATCATCACTGTCACCATCACCACCACCACCACCACCACGACCACCACCACCCAACGCGCATCAGGTCGCTGTTGAAGGGCCCAGCGCATGCAGAGACGCTGGCGCGGTATTACGAGCGGGTGGCAGATGCAATTGTGGACAGCAAGAAGACAATGCGGTGGTGCCCTGCGCCCGACTGCAAGTTTGCAGTCATTGCGCCCCACTCCAAGTGCAAGATGGTCAAGTGCAAGTGCGGCTTTGAGTTTTGCTTCCAGTGCGGCCAGGAGAACCACACACCCGTTTTGTACGTCCTTGCGTATACAATTGGGCGTGTGTTTGCTTGTGTGTCTGCGTGTGTGTGTGTCTGCGTGTGTCTATGTGTGTCTATGTGTGTCTATGTGTGTGTGGTTGTATCAATGTGTGAATATGCGGGCACTTTTTCGTATGTCGGCAGCAGCGATTGAGCTTTGCTTCCCATCCCTCACACCATCACCATCACCGTCACCATCGCCATCGCCATGGGTGCAGGTGCTTGATGCTCAAGGCGTGGCTGAAGAAGTGCGCAGACGACAGCGAGGTTGGTGGCAACAGCAATCCGCAATGCACTCGCTCGCTGTGATGTGAACCTGCAGCCCTGTGAACGCACTGCCTTGATTGTCTTCACCAGAGCATGCACACGGGTACTCGACTGCTCGCACACGACGCATGCACAAACACTTACATGCACACAAACACACACATACAAACACACACATACAAACACACACACATACACACACATACACACACACATACAAACACACACACATACACAAATATACACACACACACATACCGCGGTGGCAAACCAGACTTCCAACTGGCTGCAGGCGCACACGAAGCCGTGCCCCAAGTGCGCGTCTGTGATTGAGAAGAATGGCGGGTGCAACCACATGAGCTGCCGCAAGTGCAAGCACGAGTTTTGCTGGATCTGCCTTGGCGACTGGGAGCCGCATGGGTCGTCGTGGTTCAACTGCACGCGGTTCAACGACAGCGAGACGGCTGTTGTGCGGGAGAAAGTGGATGCGTCGCGTTCGCTGCTGAAGCGGTACCTGTTTTACTTTGACCGCTTCAAGAACCACCAGTCGAGCAGGCAGTTTGAGGAGAAGCTCGTCAAGGCCGTCGACTGGAAGATGAAGCAGATGCAGAAGCAGGGATGGGGCTGGGTCGAAGTCCAGGTGGGGTAGTTGTTTGTGTTGGTGGTGGCGGCGGAGGAGGTGGTGGTGGTGATTATGACAGTTGTTTGTGGCGGTCGTCGTGTCATTGTCGTTGCAGTTATGGTGGTGGTGTATTGCTCATGTGAACTGGGCGAGTTTCGCCGCCTTTCTTCTCCTTCTAATGAACACACACTCACCCCGCCCCCCCCCGGCTGTCTCCATCACACGTGCCATGCTTCCACCCACCCTCTACTCCCCGACACGTGCGCACCAGTTTCTGATACAAGCGGTGGCGACGCTGCAGCAGGCGCGCCGTGTGCTGCAGTACACGTATGTGTTTGCGTACTACCTCAAGAAGACGCCCCAGTGCCTCATCTTTGAGGAGAACCAGGCAGACCTGCAGATGCAGACGGAGCGCTTGTCGGAGTATCTCGAGCAGCGCGCTGCAAAGATGGACGACCTCCACAACCTCAAGCAGCAGGTGGTGTTGTTGTTTAAGTTGTTGTTTAAGTTGTTTAAGTTGTTGTTGTTATTATTGTTGATGTTGGTATCGTTGGTGAGGAGAAGTTCATGGTGGAACTCCTGTCGTTGTTGTCGGCAGCGGTGGTGTTCATGTTTCGCTTGGCATCTCTGCTCTTACACGCCTGCGTACCCACCTCCTCAACACCTCACCTCACCTTGCCCATCACCACCACCATCACCATCGCCATCGCCATCCCACCCCCACCCCACCCCACCCCCCCCCCCTTTTTTTTGTTTCAGGTGATGAACCTGCGGGCGTACTGCGAGCACCGCCTGCAGAAGTTGGTTGAGCACGTTGAGGAAGGGTACAAGGTCGGCTTTTGGGAGTATGACGAGAAGATTGCCGAGGAGATGGTTGGCCAGGTGGACGAGTTCAACGAGAGCTTGGAACTGTAAACGCAACGTGCGACTGTGTGTGTGTGTGTGTGTGTTTCGTGTTGCTTTGTGGTTCCTTTTTCCCCCTCTTCACCTCTTTTCATGTCGTGTCATGTGTCTTCAACTAAGGGTGCCTGTATCTGTCTGTGCACGGTTTGGATTTTTTGCTTCTTATCCTGAATAAACATCCATTCCCCTGGCCACACGTGAGCACTCTTACACACACACACACACACACACACACACACACACACACACACACACACACACACACACACACACACACACACACACACACACACACACACACACACACACACACACACACACACAGAGCGTTGCACCTTGAGTGGTAGTATGCTGGCCCTTGGCGGTATGCAAGAAAGTCTGCCGCGAACTTCAAACCTGACTTTGGCACCCAGCCGGCGCTGCGAAGATGGTGGTAAACAACGTAGCGCTGCACAAACTGCGGCTGCACACGCGTGAATGCACGCCAGCACTCGACCGTGGACATGTCTCGCTAAGCACGGCAGTTATGGTGGTGGTGGCGGTGGTCGTCGTCGTCGTGGGGATGTGAGCGAGCAAGTGCGCGTATTTATGTGAGTGTGTGTGCGCATGCGTCAACGGGCGTAAAAAGAGTGTGCACAGAGGCACAGGCACCCATCGTGCAAAGAATCATCGCCACCACCATCGCCATTGTTGCCGCCTTACCCCTGCTTCGTCGAGAATACGAAGGCACCCAAGGCCGTGCTTCAAGAAAAATGCCTGTAGGCAACACCAGCGTCCAACAACAGTGAATCCCCCGCCACACATGACGTCAGTGCTTGCACCGTTAACCACCGGAGCACACACACACACACACACACACACACACACACACACACACACACACACACACACACACACAACACACACAACACACACACACAAACACACACAACACACATGCAGACGAGGAATCAGGGCTGACCTCGACAAGACTGAGCTGTAAGACCTCGCGTGTTGCGTGAATGATTTGCCGGCCGCGCAGTTCGGGGGGAATGTTGTCCCCGGACACCTCCACCCACTGCATCGACGACTCCTGCTGCTGCTGTTGTGGCTGTTGGTGCTGTGGCTGCTCATCACCACCATCATTGCCACCGTCACGCGTACGATCTTGCTGTTGCGGTTGCTTCGCCCGCTTGGACGGGAGGTTGCCGTCATCGTCATGATCACGTTCGGCAGCAGTGGCGGCGCTCATCGTCGTGGTCGTGGGCTGTGCCGTGCCACCACCACCCACTTGCTGTTGTTGCTGCTCCTCCGCCTCCTCCATGCCCTGTTGTTCATCTTGTCTCTCTTCTTCGGCCGGTGCTGCCGTATCCTGCTCTCCTCCGTCATCGTCATCGCCATCACCATCGTCGCCGGCCTTGTCTGTGCTTGTTGTAGTGGCTGCTTCCCTGCCTCCCTCGGCACCTTCGCCCTGGTCACCCCCTTCTGCTTCGTCGTTCTCCACCCCGTCTTCCTTGTCCCGCTCTTCAACAGAGGCACGTCGGCTTTCAGCATCACCACCATCACCATCAACATCATCACCATTACCGCCATTGCCACCATGGGCCTGCTGCTTGTGGGCCTCCTTCCTCTCCCTCCTCCTCATTGCCTTCTCTTCCCTCTTCTTTGCCTGCTGCTCCTCTCTCTTCTTCGCCCGCACCTGTTTCCTCCGCTCGTTTCGCTCCACCCGCCGTTGCTTACGGTCCACGCGCCGCTCAGCCACCGTCACTGCACAGCCGAGGCGCATGCGCATGCGCAGGTGTATGTGTTGTGTTGTGTTGTGTTGTGTTGTGTTGTGTGTGTGTGTATGACAGACGGGGGTGTGAATGCATCGATGCAAAGGTGTATGTGAGTGAGTGAGTGTGAGTGTGTGTGTGTGTGTTTGCAAGCGTGCTCCTCTGTGCTGGCAGCTGGCGCACACACATGCGCAGCAGACACATGTGACAATGTAAACGTACAGAGTTCGACGACGCCGGCAGCAACGTCACGCACAACCTTGTGGTGCATGGGTTCGCTCTTGGACAGGTTGGCCTTACCAAAGCAGCCCTGGCGAAGCAGATGGAGACGAGGTGAGAGGAGTGACACGAACAAGCAGAGTGACGGGCAGGCAGACAGGCACACACAGACACACACACACAGACACAGACACAGACACAGACACAGACACACAGACACACAGACACACAGACACACACACACAAACCTGATAGTGTAGCCAGTACATGTCCGGCACTCGGTGCACCTTGACACCGTGCCCATCGAACACGCCCTGTTTGCAGGCCGATGCACAAGCAAGCGGGTTGAGCGAACAATGTGCGCGAGTGGAGAAGCGAGCAAGCACAGCAGACCTTAACATGTGATGGCACACCTCATATGTGTAGTATGGGCTGGGCTCCTCGACGCCATCTGGCAGGGAAGGAAGGTTGTTGTTGGAGCGCCAAGTTGCCGCCGTAACCGTCTTCATGCCAGTCGGCAGCACCTTCAGATACTTCTTGTTGTTGCCAGACTGTATGCGGTGGTCATGGTGGGTAGTGCATGGTGGTGGTGGTGGTGTTGTGTGTGTGGTTGTGACGTTGATGAAAGTCGAAGGGAGTAAGCGAGACAGGAACAAAGAAAGAGACAAGAGAAGCAAGCAGACGGGTCTGCGTGGGTTCATGTGCACAGTTGACAGAGGTGAAGTGAGGTTGAGTCGAGAGTGTCAGGCGCAGGCGGGAGCAACACCAACCCGACCTTCCGTTTCGGCTGTCGTAGAGCCTCTCGAGGACCGCAGTCGCCCGGGTGCACGAGCACAGATGGCCGCACTGTCGGTGCGTTGGGGTTCTGCGAGCAAGCCGGCAAGACGCGTGCACAAGATGCGTGTCAGCGACATGCTCAGTGACATGATCTGCAAGTGCGCGTTTGAAAGCTGCAGCAAACACAGCCGTGTGTGCGCCGTGTGCTCACCTTCTTTGGCGGCCTGCGACGGCGCTTACGGCTCCCATCTGCCGCTGCGCGTTGCTGCTGCTGCTTTGGTGCCTGATCGGCACCTTGGGTGTTGTCCTCCTCCATCATTGTCTTCCACTTCCACGTGTGTCGGTCACACAAGTGCACAGGCACGGGATTTGTGTCCTCCTTGTTTATGAGTGACTTGCTTCTCGACTTGCTTCTTCTCTCGACTTGCTTGCTTGATTGCTTGATTGATGGGATGGTTGATGCGAACACAGCGAACACATTCACACACATTCGCACACAGACACACACATGCACACATGCACAGACAGACACACATGCACACTGTTCAGTGTGCTGGTGGGGCTGCCCCTTGCACGGCCGGCTTGGCAGCAACTTCAATCATCTCCTGTGAACATGCGCGCGAGGGAACGCAAGAGTGTGTGTGTGTGTGTGTGTGTGTGTGTGTGTGTGTGTGTGTGTGAGTGAGTAAGTGAGTGAGTGTGTGTGTGAGTAAGTGAGTGAGTGTGGGTGTGAGTGTGAGTGTGTGGGTGTGAGTGTGAGTGTGAGTGTGTGGGTGTGTGTGTGTGTGAGAGAAGATGTGTGTATGCGTATGCATGCGGTTTGAGGAGACGCGCACCTTCAGTGCAAACGCTGTGTTGTAACGAAGCTCGTGGAACTTGTGAACAGGCACCTGTGAACGTGGGAGAACCGTCGTTGAGGATGAGGGGAAGCAAACGTGAGAAGAAGACATTCGGGTGAGGGGGAAAGGGACTGACAAACAGAGACAGTCAAAGACAGACACAGACAGACAAAGACACAGACACAGACACAGACACAGACACACACACACACACACACAGACACAGACAGACACACACCTCGAAGGTGCGCAGGGTTCCATCTGAGAGGCGCATTTGCATGAGTACACTTGGCTGCAGCACTCGCTTCAACGAGCTGAAATTGCGGTTGTGGCCACGCCCATGCAGTGGTGGTGAGTGGTGGATCACTGTTCCATCGTGAAAGTGGAACAAGAGACAACATTGAACCCGGCAACAGAGACAGAGAGAGAGAGAGAGAGAGAGAGAGAGAGAGAGAGAGAGAGAGAGAGAGAGAGAGAGAGAGAGAGAGAGAGAGAGAGAGAGAGAGAGAGAGAGAGAGAGAGAGAGAGAGAGAGAGAGAGAGAGAGAGAGGAAGAAGGGCAAGAGACCAGGTGGGGAGTGCAATGGTGGGGGCGGGGCAATGAAGTGCGTGTTCGAAGCAGCACCTGGTGGAGATGGCGACGTCCACACGCCACTTGAGCTGATCCAGGGATGGTAGCGACGAGTGCTCCGCAGGATCAGGTCTGAGAGATAACCGAGAGGGGAGGAGCTTGCCGATCAGTCGAGAGATATCCCAGAGGGGTGAGACATTGGAGGGGCGGGGGTTGTAGCAAGAACCACGCGCTTGGGACTCAGAGCACACACACACACACACTTGCATGGAAACCGTTGAAATGTACCCAGAGCACACACACACACACACACACACACACACACACACACACACACACACACACACACACACACACACACACACACACACACACACACACACACACACACACGCACACACACACACCTGTCCTTGAATGCCAGCCGCATGACCAGCTTCTTGAGCGCTGGCGGTGCTTGGAGGTAGTCGAGGTCCTCCTCCAGTGACCGCGGTTTCAACCTCGTTGGCGGGATCTGTGTGACGGCCGAGATCAGCGCATGTGCTCCTGCAAGTAACCTCTGCACCTCATCCTGATGCCAGAATGCAACGCACAAGCGAGTGAATGACACCACAGAATGAACGAGGTGAATGAAGCAGTGGTGAAAAGCAGCAGTGCATCTGTGGTGTCGAAGCGCGTACACACACACACACACACACACACACACACACACACACACACACACACACACTGCACGCACACAACACCTGTGTTGCGCCAAGCGTTTCGGCAAGTTCGTCCAGATGTGGGGTCTCCTGATCCCGCACGGCCGCCAGTGTCGCTGGCACGCGGAAAAGAGAAGAAGAAGAAGCGAAAGTCAGGAGTGAGAAGAACTGTTGAGAGCGCCAGCTCGTGTGTCAGCACTCACTGTCACGACTCTCACCACTCACAAGAAGAGACAAACACACAGATACAAACACACACACAGATACAAACAAACACACAAACAAACACACGCACACACACAGATACAAACAAACACACAAACAAAAACACACACACACAGATACACACACAGATACAAACAAACACACACACCTTTGAAGCAAGCGGAGGCTGCTTTGACGTTTGCGTGTGCAAAGAGGGCCTTGACGAGGGGCGGCACACGGGGGCCAAAGAAGGTGTCACGCACCTCGCCACCCTGCCGAAACGCTGAAGCATCAACCCGATTCATTATTGGAGGGTTGAACACGACACCATAAACTGTAGTCAATATGAGGCAGCCGACGCGGCACACAACCCACCACACACACACTTACACAAGCACACACACACACACACACACACACACACACACACACACACACACACACACACACACACACACACACCACACATCATTCCATCATTGTCATTCCCATCTCACATCGCTCTGCATGCATGTGCCTGAGTGTGTGCTTGAGTGAGTGATCTCCGTTTGGGCCATGTCAACAGCAAGCCATCCACCACCACCACCGCCGCCACCACCGCCTGTGTCCGGAGCTTCCCTCGCCAAAGCAGAAGAAGACAGCGAGCACCCTCAGATGCAGCAACAACAACAACAACAACAACAACAACAACAACAACAACAACAACAACAACAACAACAACAACAACAACAACAACAACGCATGCAGGTGCAGAGCGAACAAGGGCAGGCTGTACGCCAGTACCAGCCACTGTCGCAGCAACAACAGCCACAACCGCCGCACCTGCTGCAGCAGCAACAACACTTTCAGCAGCAGCAACAACAGCAACAACAGCAACATCCTCATCACTATCAGCTGACGTACTACCAGCCACCGAACCCACACACAAGTGGAAGCAACGCCATGCCGCCCGCCCCGTACTACGTTCCTGGCGGTGCGGTCATGTCAAGTGCACCAAGCGCGCCGCTTGCAGGACCAGCGTACCCGTATCCGCATCAGCGCATGCCCCCACCAGCTCACGCTTCCAGTACCGCAACCTCTCTCACATCCCTGGCAGCCGTCGGGCCGCCCCCTCCGCCGCCCCCTCCCCCTCCTGCACCAGCAGTAGCACAGCACCACACCTCTGTCTCTCACACCCTTGTCCGCAACACCACTGCAACGTCAGCCGCCGCTACTCCTGTCACGGAAGCAAACCGCACCACGATCACGAACGCCGCCAGCAGCAACAAAGGCAGCCGGAGCGCAAGTGCTAGGGACGACGAGGATGATGGGGGCGGCAGCGGCAGTGGGAACCGACGGAAGCGAGCAAAGCGGCCACGCACAACCGTGGCTCAGCGACACCACTTGCTCGTGTTGCTGGACCGGGGTGAAATCACGCCCACGGCGGCTGCGGAGCGCGCTGGCGTCTCCAAGACGGCTGTGTCCAACTGGATACGCCGCCACCGCCAAGGACATATGCCGCTTGTGGACGACGGTAACGCCTCGCGGCAGCGGCAGCGCCCGCCAAAGTATTCGCTTGTGGAGCCCCGCGTCGTGGCCTTTGTCAACTCTCTGCCCTCAAACCGGCCCATCAGCTGGTCCCGCGTCCAACGTATGTGCTCTTGTGTACGTGATGCACTCGTGTGCATGTGATGTTCATATGATGTTCGTGTGTCATGGGGTTCACGTACATGGTGTTTACACACATGGGGTTCACGTACATGGGGTTCACGTGCATGGGGTTTACACACATGGTGTGGATGCATGTATATTCTTCCTAGTCATCCTGTCCTCCTCTGCCTGTCCTCACATGTTTACGCATCTGTGTGTCACTTTTTTCCTCGCACCCACGCACCCACACTACGGTGCAGAGTATGCCCAGGAGGTGGCACGTGAGCTGGTGGCGGAGGGCCACAGCGAGTACGCAAGGTTCACGGCATCGGCCGGATGGTTCCAGGGGCTGAAGCGACGGTATAACCTCACGTTCCCAAACACGCGCTCCCACGCAGCCGCAACAGCGGCGAGGGCTGGTGGTGACGGCAGGAGCACGGCAGCCAACGTACACAGCGCGGGCAGTGATGGTGCTGCGAAGCAGCATCAACATCAACATCAACATCAGCAACATCAACATCAGCAGCAGCAGCAGCAGCAGCACGAGGAGGCGAACGGCAAAGTGGAAGGCAACAGCCATCAAGGTGTCCCAGCCAACGGTGGCAGCAGCGGCATGACGGGTGCGGCGATGGCGACGGTGCGCGATGGTGGATATGAAACCGTCGATGTGGGCGCAATTGGAACGCGCGGAAGTGCAATGCGGCGTGGTGGCGGCGCGGATGGCATCGCTGCAGCCGGTGGCAGTGGTGTTGGCAGCCAGCACCGGTGTGGCGGCGGTAGCGACGGTGGTGGTGATGGTGATGGCGATGGTGATGATGATGACGACGACGAGAAGACGATTGACGTCGCAAACGCGACCGGGGTGTCGGCACCACTTCATCATCATCATCATCATCATCACCAGCACCAGCAACATCATAACCATCACCCTCATCATCACCATCACCACCATCACCACCAGCTCCAGGGCCAACATCACGCGAGTGCCGGACAACCACACGATGGTGGCGGTGCTGGTGATGCACACCACGTGTCCCACCTCCACGCTGAGGTGCCCCTGCCACCACCATCAGGCTCACACGCCTTTCCACACTACTTGTACCCGCCACCGCCACCGCTGCTGTCACACACACAGCCATCAGCTGGGTACGAGGACACTGCTCAGCAGCACGTGCACGTTGATGGTGACACCACACGCCATATTCCGTCCAGCATCAGCAGCAGCATCAGCAGCAGCATCAGCAGCAGCACGCTGCCACTGCCACTGCCACCGCCATCCCACCCCGTCCAGGAGCACCAGCAACAACAACAGCAACAACATCAGCAGCAGCAGCAGCAACATGGTGGTGAGGGCGGTACCGGGGGTGATGGAGATGATGCGTTTGTGGATGTGCAGTCGACAAGTGGTGATGGACGGGGACCAGGGTTTACTGCTGGGGTGCGGGAACCCATGCACGCACAGCCAGCAGAGATGCACACCAGTGCACGTGGTGATAGTGGTGATGGTGACGATGATGGTGATGATGGTGATGGTGGTGGTGACGATCAGCAACGACAGCAGGAGGGAGAGCGCGCCGCAACAGGTGATGGTGCTGATGGTGATGATGATGATGATGATGGCAGCAGTGGTCGTGGCGGTGATGATGCAGGAGATGGCGCCCGACAGAGCAGCAGCAGCAGCGGCGGCGGCGGTAAGAGCGGCCGCTCAACATCGGCGGGGAAGGCCG